GCTAATAACGCGAAGGTCGCGGGTTCGATCCCCTCATGGGCCAATTTCCTTTTTATTTTCTCTTTTTGATGGTATTAATTGAATAAACTTCTGGAAATAAGGAAAAAGAACCTTGATGATTTTTTTACATTATACTGTACGCTGTGCAAAAATACGAATTATTTTAACGCAGGCGTACTGAGAATAGCTTCCTTCGTATTGATATTTTCTTCTTCAACTAGATTAAGTATATCTGCGATAATTTCTTATTTTTCATCGATATCAATTGTTATAATATTAATACAGCCTATTTTAAAAGTGCTGTGATTTTTTTAAATTTATTTCAGTGAATAACAGCTTTAATATTGCTTCGAGATACTGTTTCTAGATCTTTAATGTGTGCAATAAAGTGTTTCAAAATTAAGACAAACGTATTTAACACTTTCACTGCAGATTTCGAATTGGAATCATGAAAATAATTTCAGGGGTTGTCCTATCCTCCCTAATTCCATTACGTCACTTATTCATCATGGCTTATGGTTCTAAATGAAAAAAAAAAAATTGAAATGATAAAATAAAAATTACTACTAAACACATATTCACTTTTGCACAAAAATATGTCAGCTATCGAACAATTAACCCTTTGCACTCGAAGATCTTTTCACTATAGCCTATTACCTTTAAAATTGATATTTAGTATGGATGAAATTTTTCGAAACTAATATAGAAATAAATCATACTATGTATATTGACAAATATATTTTAATTATAATACGTTCTGTTTCTATTTATTTCAATTTACGAAATAGTAAAAAATAATATCGCTTCTCAATCGCCACTCGAATGCAAAGGTTGAAATCATTTCGTAAAAATTCCCCCAATTTCATCGAAACCGCGAAGTGAATTCCGGAACACCCGGTATATTCCTCCCAGCTAATTAAGTAATCCACGCTGATTATCCCCGAGTAACTCTCACTCGCTATTAACATTACACAATCGTCTCTCCCGCGAAAGCGATAAAGAATGCGAATTGCGCAACAGGCGATAACGAGCCCGTAAATCCACTCGATTCGTTCGACAAATGAATCCATTTAATCTTTCTCTCTCTCCAGAAAGTCGTAAGAATTATTACCATAAGCGGTACGAACGGATATGCGTGCAGTTTCGAACGTCTGAACGGTAAGAAGGACCGTAAAAAGATTCTCGGAGTAGCGTAGAGAGAAAAATCCCCACCGAAAAATCGAATTTCAACCGATAACCCAAGGAGGGAACAGCATTGGCTCACGAATTCATTTCACGGTAGCCGTTCGACCACCATAAAGGGACGCCAATAAAGTTCCACCTAAGTATATCTAATGACATCATTTGGACGGCGAGCGTAATAAACCGGCACAAAGCCACGGGGATTTCGTCGAGCGTGTAAAAACGTGGAAACGGCTTAGAGGAGCGTGAGCGAGGGTAAGGATTGAACCTCTTCTCCAAGTCTGCGGTTCACGTGTGGAAGGGGTTGCAGACAGGACGACCGGAATTTCGTATGGGACTCGTGGTCCAGCGGGAATAAAAATGAGCGGAATACGAAGTTCCAGCTCTTTCTTACTGTCACATGCGAACTGTCGCGTGGTTTTAGGAACTGGACGGTCACTTGGGAGGTATACTTAAGCTCTGGTTGCGAGAGAAATACTAATACATAATTTTAGTTGGGAATGCGCATACGTGGTCTCGTTTCAATTTCTGCGAGGTATAATTGAAAGGCGCGGGGGAAGGACAAATGGAGAGTAGAAATTGAAATTTTGTAGAAGAAAAATATAAATGTTGAAACACTAGAAATTTGATACTTCTGTATTACACCTTTCACAGTGAAAATATTTTTCGAAGGTTGGTTTCACGATTGCTGCTTTTCCCTTGAAAGTGCAATAACAATGTGCAAGGTTTTTTATTTGCACGATTAATTGAATTTTATAATTGTTAACTTTGAAAAATTTTTTAATTTCTAAATTGTTCAATTAAAGTATATTTCACTGGGTTTCTGAAATTTTCATGGTTGTTTCTCTTTAGGACTTGGCATGGTTAAATTATTCATGAATGCAACGCAATGCATTTTTTAGACTACGTTGGTTCTTCGGTAAATGAGTAAAAGTTGTGTACAGGTGAATGTATAATGTTGTACAGTGAGTAACTGGGAGTAAAGGACGATGAAGTTAGAAATAAGTTATGGTAGTTTGAACTTCTTAAGCATCTAGTTTAGTAGGTTGGATAAATCCCTCCTCAACTTTCACGAGTATCTGTGTCACGTCACTTCTTCGAAGTGTGTATTGAATTAAAAGGTCCTCTTTGCTAAACTTGTATAACTGCATTTGCCTACCAAGTTGCTATCTAATTTTTCTAATAACTAAAAGGTAATATAGTTTCACAGTAAAATCCTTCTATTTATATTCAGATATTCTCAACTACATACTTTCATTCGATATTCCCTTGCTTTTCGTGCTTTATATTTACATGTTTAACAACTGCTTCACTTTCTGTTCACTCTTGCTCTTTAAATTTTTCCACCAATAAAATGTTAAAACCTAAACATCCTTTCCATTAACATAACACAAGAAAAGACTTGAGAACATGATTATTATTTAAATCGTATCACAGCTAATGTTCACCAATACCGAAACAGATAAAAAGGAATCGATAATAAAATAACGCAATTCTGCAGAATGAATTTTCTCTGAAAAGAAGGCACTTCAATGCACATTTTCACCTAATATTTGCCCAAGAAATCCCCTAATCACTATATCCACATTCCACCCACATTCCATCCCAAAATTCTCAACTTTCCCTCAACGATCCCACTCCCAAATCCCACGAAACTCACTTCCCACAAACCCATTTTCCCAGCAACTCGTCAAAGTCAGAAAGACTCCAAGCCGTAACATTGCACACGGCTCGGCATCATCGTCCATATCCGCGAAGCATTTCAATGATCTCAGAGCCAGGCCGACCCCTGTCACCGTTAAGCACTCAATCAAGCCAAACAGGCTTCGAGCGAAACAATACGCGTCCGCGTGTACCCGCGAATGAAATCTGCAGGCGTGCGTGGGCGTCTTGCTTGATAATATGCATTCGCGGCGGAGGAACAGGCCAGGCCGATTCGCGACGACAGACGCGGCGAGCGCGAAGTCGCCACGAGATCATCGCGAGGAAGTTCCCTCTTCTCGCACGGTCCCTGTAATCACAGAGGCTCATTAGTCGTCTGCTGGCGGATAAATTACAGCTGAGAGCGAAGAAGGCAGCCAGGCATTGTTTCGCGTAAGTGGGCATCCACGAGGTTCCTTGGATCGGTTTCACGAAAGCCAGCCGTAAGCAGAGAGAGCGAGGGCCCCAACGAGAACAGACTAACCCTATACATAAGACAGTACGGCGAAGGGAACACCGGAGAAGAAGGGTGAAATGATGGTGAGAGAGAGAGAGAGAGAGAATTCCTGGTGTCTTCTCGGGCCTGAAACCGAACGACCGTAATCTTGAGCTATCTAACGTTGTAAACGTAGCGAGGTGATGATTTGCGACCTCCCTGTGGGGAACGTGGCTCGAAGCAAGGAAACTTCTCCTTCTTTCTTTCATACTCCTTCTCCTTCTTTCCCTCTACCTTTAGGCCCCTTTAGATTCAATTTCGCGGGGCGTCAGCCCGCTGACGCGACGTCCGCCCACCTTTTGCAGGACGTTGATGTACGATACGGTGCACCGGGCCGGACGCGTGAAAGTTCGACGATTCGCGCGAGGATTGTTTTTCGGCCCGTAAACGCGTTGCAAAGTAACGCGTCGATTTTCTCCCTTTGGACACTTGGGCTGTTTAGTGGGCGAGAGTGTGGTAAGACGGAGGCATGGGAATGAAGTGGACGGCTGAGGTGAATGTCGAAGGGTGTTTCGGGAGGCTGAGGATGAGTTGGGGTTTAAGTTTGTGGGTATGGAATGTGCATTCCATTGTTGTGAGTAGACTGGTAAAATACGCTAATTGTAAGTCGAAAGTTGTCCGTTTTCACTTTTTGGTGGACAAAGGTATAACAAATAAGCCCTTTTTATATTGGTAATATGTGTTGAAGTATATCGTAAGAAATAAAAGATTTTTGTGCTAAATTCTGTAAAGCATTCTAGGATTATATCACGCGAAGTACATTGAGCGACCTAACTAGGTTGGAATTGAGTTGGAGATTAATTTTGTGTGCATGCAATGTGCATTCCAGTGTTGTTCTCGCATTGTGCATGTATTCGTGAAACACAGTAATTGTACCTAAGTGAAAAAATTACTCTTTCTACTTTTTGGTGAAAAATTATATAAATAATGATCCCTTTATATACGATGCACACTAAACCGTAACACAATCAGTGTGACTTGTTGTTAGAATTAGCGTATTTCCACGATACGGTGATTCTGTAGGTTTATTATTCCCCTCCATTGAAGTTTTCAAGAATTCTAACCACGAAGGCTAAAAAAGTTGATGAAAAAATATGTGTGTGTGATAAACAGTCTATTAAAAATCACGGTTCGCAAATAATTAGCAAACTTTAAAGATGGAAACTTCAATCTCGATGAAAATAAATAAAAAACCAAGTGTTTAGCAAAGTGGAATTCTTAAATTGCCAGAAAGACAGCAAAACCTTACTAATCACTTATGCAGATTTCCCGAAGATCCAGACACTCGCCCAGCGATCCACAAGGAAGTTCTCAC